GCGCAGCTCCTCCCGCGCCCCGCCGAGCCCGGCGCCGCGGCGTCCCCCTCGCCCGCGGGCGCGGCCCCTGCCGCGGCCGTGGTGCCTGCGCGCATGGTCTCCCCGGCGCCCGCGCGCGGTGCCTCCCCAGCGCCCGCGCGTACCACCTCCCCAGCGCCCTCGCGCAAGGCGTCCCCGGCGCCCGGCGCTGCCATCCCCCCGACTTCCCCTGAGCTGGCGGCCGCCCCCGGGACTGCGATGATCTCAGTCGGCAGCCGCCGCCTGGCCGCCGCTGCGAACAACGCGCCCGACGCGCCGCGCGTCGAGGCCGGCGCCGCCACGCGGGCGGTGAGCGGCGGCAACAGCTCCCGAACCTCCGCCTCTGGCGCGTGGGCGGGCGCCGGCGGCGGCGGCGCGGATGGCGGTGGCGCTGCCTCGTCGGCGCGCGCGGGCGCGTACCGCGCCGAAACCTCCTCCGCCAATTCCTCCGCGTCAGCGAGCGCCGCCGCTTACACCAAGGTGACTAGCCCCGACGGCAGCTACGCGTACTCCTGGTCAAACGCCAGCTCGTCCAGCTGGCGCGCCTCTTGGAATTCCAGCTGGTCGGCCGCATGGAGCGAGGCAAACGCGACGTGCGGGCGCGGCGGGGCGGCCCACGGGGCGTGCAGAGCAGCGGCTGCCGCCGCCGCAGCCGCGGGGCCAGGCGGCGCGACGGTGGGCGGCGCGGCGGCGGCCGGAGAGCAGGTGGGGGGCTCGCGCGCTTCCCGCAACGCCTGCATCGATCCACGCGCCCCCGGCGCTCTTTCATATGCAGGGGCTGAACGCTCACGTTTGCATCCACCGCGTGCGACGGCTGCCAGCCTATCATCCAATCAACTTAGCCCCGGTCTGCCTTACCGACCTGTGGGCTTTGCAACCACGGGGTGCTCAGGAGGCTGCCCGGCGCCGCCTGATGGAGGAGGGCGGCGACCCCTGGTTCACCACCAAAGTGTGCAGCGTCAAGGCGGGCGGGCCCAACACCGTCTCCAACGTCACCCGGGACTACTTCGGCAGGTGAGCAGGGGGTCAGCGGGCTGCTCTGGCCCTTCGCCGCGGGGCCAGCTTTGCCCCAGGGGGTCCTCCCTGACCGCATGCTGCGCGACCTCGAGCCTGACCCCGCCGCGCCCGCCGTCGCGCCGCGGCTCCCGGCGAGAGCGGCGCGGCCCGACCACTTTCTGCGCTCCACCGCCGCTGACGGCCCCTTGCACGCGCTCTGCTCGGCCCGCAGGTACTGGGGATTCCAGGACGGCGGGAGCTGCACGTTCCGAGGCGTTGGCATTGAGGACCTGAAATACGCTCAGGTGGGCAGGCCACCATGATGGTCAGCTTGGAGTGAAACCAGGCGGTTGAACTCCATGTGAAATGGGGCGGAACGGCGTGGGCACGTGTTGGACGGGCTGACGCTTGGGACGGCCCGGCCCGCGCGCGCCTCTCTTGCAACCGGGCCCAAACTCGCCGCGGCCGCCGCCGCCCCAGCGACCGCTTTGCGTGCCCGCGCGCCGAGATGGCCCGTGCCGACCCCCGCTACCGCCTCACACCCTCAACCCGCCCTTGCAGAGCGCGCCGTTTGACAGTCCCACATTTACAAGCGCCCCCGCCTGCCCCATCTCGGCGCCCAACCCCTCCCTCGGCACCGACGGCCACCGCTACGCCTGGGACAACGCCGCAAAGGCCACCTGCACCTTTGACAAGCCGCACGCGACGCGGCCACTCGGCGCGGCCGACCCCGAGCCGAGGCTGACGGCCCCGACGGCCGCAGCGCCGCCCTCGCCCCCGCCCTCCTCGCCTGTCGAGCAGCAGCCACAGCCCGTGCCCCAGCCGGCGGCGCCCGCGTACCAGCTCGTGCCAGCTGCGCTGCTGCCGCGGGCGACGTCCCAGCAGCTGTCGCCCGCGGCGCGGCCTTCCTCGCCCCTCCTGCGGGCTCCGGCCCCGGCCGCCGCCGCCAGCCCGGCCCCCACGCTGGCGCCGCCGGCGCGACCTGCGCAGCGCGCCGCGGCGCCTGCGCTGGCAAAGGCGACCTCGCCTTCCCCTAAGCCTGCTATTGTCGGCCTCGCCGGCCTCGCATTGGACTCCGTCAGCCTGTTGGGCACCCCCGCCGTCGCAGCCAATGACAAGGCGAGCCCCACCTTCATGTTGGCTGCCTCTGCGCCCGCCGGTACGCCGGCGCTGGCGCCGCCCAGGGCGTCGCCCGCGGCAGGCGCGGCGCTGCCAAACGCGCCCGCCGCCGCGGCTTCCGGCGAGCACGCCGTCCTCGACCTCGGCGCGGGCCTTCCTGCAACGTCCATCGCCACGATCCCCCTGCCGTCCCTCAGCGCGGCCCCGGCCCCGGCCGTCGAAACGTCGCCCGTGCTCACTTCCACCGCGCAGCCCGAGGCAGAGATTAGTAACCCACCGCAGGTCCTGATAAGCGTCAGTCTCTTCCCGTCGGTATCATACACACCGCAAACGATTGCGAGCGACACATCCGCGCGGCGCGCGCGCCCCAGCACCCTGCTGCCGTCGGTCTCGCTGCTCCCGCCGGTGCCGCGCCGCAAGTAATGGAACCTCAACTATCCCGCCAGGGCCGTTCCCCTGTCCCATTCGCTTCAACAAAACGGCTGTTCCTTCGACTGCTCACGCACGAGCCGTCGATTACGCCAAACCCCTGAGACTTCCTCCTCCTGCTTTGCTTGCCCAGCATCATGACTGCCCAATCCCTTGATTCCCGCTTGCACGAATCGTGCGCCTCCTGTCCTTGTTCCACAGCGCCATCCAGCCAGAAGCATTCACTGACCTGTGCTGCAGGTGTGTGGTCTGGCCTTATTCCAAACCCCATGCATGCGGCACACCTTTTCGGTTATTTCATTGCATCGAACGATGCACCCCTTTTGCCCTCACCAGGCACTGTTTCAATCAACTGCCCTTCAGAATCCTGATTATGTGATGCGAGCGTGCCTTTCCTGCAACCTGTCACAAGCGATTGGTGGTGGATTCCCAAACGGCAGAGGGGGGCCAGAGTGAGCGCCGGCAATGGGCTCAGCGGGGGGCGCAAATAGGTTGCGGGTGGGGGGGGGGCTGCAGGTGTACCCGAACAACCCACAGGCTGCCATCAGTTGCAAAACACCAACATGAGTCCAAGCAACTGCCTCTTGGCCCACTGGAGCCCGCCTGGTGCAACAAATTGCATGCGTGCTTGCGAAAAGTGCGGTCAAAGTGCCGGTCAACCCTGCAGCCAGCTCCGACTTTTGGGTTCTTCATGCGGCCTGCCAAAATTTGATAGTAAAGCTGTTAGTATTCGGTTTTTGCAGCGCCACGCATCTGGACTGCATTTCTGACAACACAAACAGCGTGAAGGTCGATTGCTGGGTCGGTCTCCCGCATAAAGCGCGCAATCAAGCAAACATTTCTCAAAGTAATTCAGAGTTTCGACACATCAAGGCGAGTTTCAACCCACTTACATCCCTTCCCACACTCTGTTTTCGCCTGTTCTGCACTGCACTCGCAGGCTCGCGTGCGGGGAGACCGGGGCATGCTATGCAGCGTCAGCCCTCGGAGGGCTTGGCTGATGCCAGAGCTTTGCTGCCTGCTAGAGTGTTGCCTGGTGCCCCTGCGCCCGCGCCGCGCTGCCTCGCACCCATCACTGCAGGCGCTGCATCTCCAGGTCGCGCGCCCGCTGCTTGGGTTGTGGGTGCGCTCCCAGCCCCAGCGGTGCGCATGTTGCGGTGACCTGGCAGCCCTGAACCGGAGTCCCCACAGGGGCCGTTCTCAAGCGGGCAAACCTCCGTCTGGAGCACTCCTCCGGGAGAAGAACTCCGGGAGCTTGCCAGTGGGACCAACCTTTGTCGGTCGCCACACGCTACCCTGGCCTAGCCAAGGGGTTGGGCTGAGCTGCACACAACGTTATCTACACCGTTGTGTGCGGGCCGCACTTCTTTGGGGCCCGAGCAGCACACCTCCACGCGGTGGGCCCTGGCACTGGCTGCGCGCTCAACTCCCAGCTACCAGGATGCTGCAATTCAGCAGGGCACCGAGCATGTTTGGGCTTGATGCACGCCTCGCACCTTGTGATGTAACTAAACTGATCATTGTGTTGCTGAGGAGTGTGTTTGATCCTTATGCAAGGGTGTTCAGGAAGCGCGCAACAACAACACAGCGGAGTTGACAGAGTCAATCCGCACATATGACAGCTGGGGGGCCCATACTACATCAGAAAGGCTTGCATACGGCCGGCTTGGCTGCAAGGTGGTGGGTCTCCATGGCGGCTGTGGCTGCAGGAGGAAATGAACAGGTCGTGCTGCTTTGAGCGTCTGTCTGCTGAAGGAGACCTGCATTTTGTGTGTGGACAAACACGGCAGTTACCAGAGTAGGACGAACCAGAGGGCGCAGGCGACATTAACAAAGACTATCATCAAACAACAACACCACCAAGAAGGGCCATGGTGGTTCCTCTCAGCTCACGTAATTGCGCGGCCAAGCCTAACGCAGCACTCCACACCACACAGTATTCAGAGGGCAGAACTGCACCGAACACGTGAAGCAAGCTGCACTTTTGGTCATTGAGCACCGAGCCAAAGCGTCAAGGTGCATTCAGCTGCGGACAACCTCTAGCAGGCGGCTGAAGTAAAATGAGGTTGCGGTCGCGCGCCCTCCCCCTGTGGCGGCAAGGATTGACCAAACTTTGACTGGCCACGCAATTGCTGGGTCGGACCTACATTACGTCCGCTAAATAAAAAATTACTTTTCACATTACTACCGTAGAAAATATATGCGTCCTTACCGTATTGTACTCTGCAAGAGGGCCGTTCAGATGGTCAGATGGGGTGATGTAGAGTGCCTTCCGGGTTCGATTATTAATAATAGCATAGGTACCAAATGAATCCCGAAGATAACTTCCTGGACCTCGGATGCGACACGATCGTCGTCCTGGTCGCAGCAGATGATGAAAAAACCTTCCGCGGCCTCGTGAGGCCCGTCTGCCTCGTGCAGGGGTATGATTTAGTACTACCAAATGTGCTTCCAGAGCAGGTTGGAGGCCAGGACTGGAGTCTGTTGCGAACAGGTGGGATTGTGCGCGAGTGCGACTGCTCGTGCTGCGCGTGGTGATGCCCGCCATGAATGTGAGCACCAGGCTGACCCAACCCCCCCCCCCCCAAGCCCCCC